GAGTTAGAAGAAGCTCAGCTCGATGCTTATAACTTATTAGTGGCAAGAAGAAGCTTGGCAAACCGTACTACCCGTAGGAATTAAAGACCCCAGGTTCGGCAAGTGGTTGCCGAATTGGGAGGGGCCATTCGTTATTCATAAAGTTCTCGGCAAGGGAACATATCGTCTTAGGGATCGAACTGGTATAGTTCATAAGTTGCCAATCAACGGGAGGTTTTTAAAGAACTATTATCCAGTCACATGGGAAATGCGGGAATAAAAGTTCATTTCATTAAATTTGCAAAAAGTGTACAAATGGAATGAGTCGATCAATTACAATCAAATAATTCTAGGGTGATGAAGGTAGGAGAGACTCAAGAACGACCTTCAACACTAGCCACCGCACCTCGCCCATCGTGACCTCAGCTTGTCGATTCCTCTTGTCCATCTTTAGCTGCTCGACTAGCCTCACACTAGCCATGTATTCAGTTAAGTAAGATTTACCGCTCGACTCAAAATCCTTTGCAAGCTTGGAAGCAATTGCCGACCTTTGATTTTGGAGTTCGGCAATTTGACGGTCGGTTAGGGCCTCATTTTCGCATTTAAAACTTCAACTTTTGGATGAAGAGTATCTTGAGCGATTGTTGCAGCTTTCAAGTCGTCTTTAGCCCGAAGGATTTTCTCGAAAATACCGAAATATTCTCGGGTCCGTTCCAAGGAAGAAGACGCTTGAGTGATAGCCTCGGTGTTCAATTGACCATCAGCTGCAAGATTGTTCAGACATGCACCAACTGAATCAAGGCCTTGACATTTAAGAACTTGTAAAGCTGAGAGAGACGAGCTCCTGCAACCTAACAAGAACAGTTGATTTGGCCGGCCCGATTGTAACTGTTGAATGGCCAGTCGCTTCCGACGTACTCGATAAGAGAGCATCGAATTCGACTTCCCATGAAGGCTGCGCACAAAAAGGGTTTAGATGCAAGGAAAATCATAGAAGAATGTAGTAGAGAATTTGTTTTAGACCTGCCAAGAAGAGACTTTGGCCATGTCTCCGGGTTCATTGCTCGAACCTAGAGAGCTTAATGGCTGAGCCTAGTGTATTAGATTGCTTTTTAATTCAAGCGACCGATGAAGGTTATGTTGTACTTTTATGCACAAACGGAAGCGAATTATAACAAAGTACCAAATATCAACGTCGCAGGTGAAAGCTAAAACAAACAATCTCAAACTGACACAAGAGATTTATGTGGTTCGGCGTAAAACCTACTCCACGAGCGAAGCACGGCAAAGAATTTCACTACAGCAAAGAATTTCACTAAACAAACGGAGATTACAAAAGAGTTTAAACTCTCACAACCCAAATCCCACAAATTACAAACCCTAGACCAAACGAGTAGAGAACCCAAACCTAACGGAGAAGATTCTCCCAAATTGCTCTCTAACTCACAAATTGACTCTTACCAAATTGTCACATGAATGAGCCACACTAAATACACTAACCCTAAGGTCCTATTTATAGTGCATAGGACTTAGGTTATAATAGGAATCCTAATAGGAAATAAATCCAAATCCTAATCAAATAAGTAATTAACAAAATCTCTCCACCAAAGAAACTAACTAAGAAGTCAAAACCAAACCCAAATAGGACACTAAAACCAAATAGGTAACATAAACCTAATTTATTGCATCATCCTAATTTTGAGCCAAAAACCCAACAATATCCACCTCGGCAAGAAAATAGCAAACTTCCAAATTTGGGATACCAAAATACAAATGCAAACGTGCACCAAATTGTTTCGAAACTGATCTCCACCTAGACTCAAAAAATCCAAAAGTCTTCAAACTTGAAATTTCCTCCAACGCCTTCTCCAACAAATTCCATTACGGAAACTAAAAAAAAATACGAAACAAAATCCAAGCAAAAACTTGAACATACGAATAAAAAGTGCGAATTGCACTCCACCCAAAGAGCTTGAGTACCAAGCTCCACCTCTTCACATAACCTTTAGAGGAGTTCAGAACAACGATCTTCTGCAATGTTTGCATCAACAATAGCAAAAGACTTATCAAACAACTTCTTTTTGCCCTTGATTTAGGGCAATCTACTTTCCAATGACCTTCCTTATAACAATAGCTACAAGTGTTTTTTCCAAGTTTGCTCCTTTCCTTATTCCTTCCTTGAACTACCAAAACTCCATCTTGTGTGTCAGACACTTTATTCTTCAACTCTTTAGAATTCAAAATGACTTTAAAATCTTCCAAACTAAGACTTTCTCTACCAAATAGCATGGTATCGACAAAGTGTTCATACGAAGGAGATAAAGAACACAACAAAGTGATCGCATAATCCTCATCACTAATTTGGTTGTCCACACTTTTCAAATCTATCATAAGTTTATTGAATTCATCAACATGCTTATGAATTGACGTACATTCATCCATACGAAGAGTATGCAAACTTTTCATCAAATACAATCGTTTAGCAAGGGATTTGGTCATATACAAGCTCTCCAATTTTATCCACAACTCTGGTGCAGATTTGATGCTACCAACTTCACGCAAGACTTCATTCGATAAAATCAGCAGGATTGCTCCAAGTGCCCGCTCCATAACGTCTTCTTTTTCTTCATCAGTCCACGAATCCGGCAAAGCCTTCACACCCTTTAGCGTTTTCAAAAGCTCTTGTTGAACTAACAAAGCACGCATATTCAATTGCCAAATACCAAAGTCATTGCCGTCGAACTTTTCAATATCAACTTTCACCGACGACACAGAAGGCTTCATAATGACTGCCAAACAAAGCCCAAGCCGAAACCTGGGCTCTGATACCACTTGTCGTACTTTTATGCGCAAACGGAAGCGAATTATAACAAAGTACCAAATATCAACGTCGTAGGTGAAAGCTAAAACAAACAATCTCAAACTGACACAAGAGATTTACGTGGTTCAATGTAAAGCCTACTCCACGGGTGAAGCACGGCAAAGAATTTCACTAAACAAACGGAGATTACAAAAGAGTGTTTAAACTCTCACAACCAAAATCCCACAAATTACAAACCCTAAAAATCACCAAATTGTCACACGAATGAGCCACACTAAATACACTAACCCTAAGGTCCTATTTATAGTGCATAGGACTTAGGTTACAATAGGAATCCTAATAGGAAATAAATCCAAATCCTAATCAAATAGGTAATTAACAAAATCTCTCCACCAAAGAAACTAACTAAGAAGTCAAAACCAAACCCAAATAGGACACAAAAACCAAATAGGTAACACAAACCTAATTTATTGCATCATCCTAATTTTGAGCCAAAAACCCAACAATCTCCACCTCGGCGAGAAATTAGCAAACTTCCAAATTTGGGATACCAAAATACAAATGCAAACGTGCACCAAATTGTTTCGAAACTGATCTCCACCTAGACTCAAAAAATCCAAAAGTCTTCAAACTTGAAATTTCCTCCTGGCCTTCTCCAACAAATTCTATTACGGAAACTTAAAAAAAATACGAAACAAAATTCAAGCAAAAACTTGAACATACGAACAAAAAGTGCGAATTGAACTCCACCCAAAGAGCTTGAGTACCAAGCTCCATCTCTTCACATAACCTTTAGAGGAGTTCAGAACAACGATCTTCTGCAATGTTTGCATCAACACTAGCAAAAGACTTATCAAACAACTTCTTTTTGCCCTTGAGTTTAGGGTAATCTACTTTCCAATGACATTTCTTATAACAATAGCTACAAGTGTTTTTTTCCAAGTTTGCTCCTTTCCTTATTCCTTCCTTGAACTACCAAAGCTCCATCTTGTGTGTCAGACCCTTTATTCTTCAGCCCTTTAGAATTCAAAGCGACTTTAAAATCTTCCAAACTAAGACTTTCTCTACTAAATAGCATGGTATCGACAAAGTGTTCATACGAAGGAGATAAAGAACATAACAAAGTTATCGCATAATCCTCATCACTAATTTGGTTGTCCACACTTTTCAAATCTATCATAAGTTTATTGAATTCATCAACATGCTTATGAATTGACGTACCTTCATCCATACGAAGAGTATGCAAACTTTTCTTCAAATACAATCGTTTAGCAAGGGATTTGGTCATATACAAGCTCTCCAATTTTATCCACAACTCTGGTGCAGATTTGATGCTACCAACTTCACGCAAGACTTCATTCGATAAAGTCAGTAGGATTGCTCCAAGTGCCTGTTCCATAACGTCTTCTTTTTCTTCATCAGTCCACGAATCCGACAAAGCCTTCACACCCTTTAGCGTTTTCAAAAGCTCTTGTTGAAATAACAAAGCATGCATCTTCAATTGCCAAATACCAAAGTCATTACCGTCGAACTTTTCAATATCAACTTTCACCGACGACGCAGAAGGCTTCATAGTGACTGCCAAACAAAGCCCAAGCCGAAACCTGGGCTCTGATACCACTTGTTGTACTTTTATGCGCAAACGGAAGCGAATTATAACAAAGTACCAAATATCAACGTCGTAGGTGAAAGCTAAAACAAACAATCTCAAACTGACACAAGAGATTTACGTGGTTCGGCGTAAAGCCTACTCCACGGGTGAAGCACGACAAGGAATTTCACTAAACAAACGGAGATTACAAAAGAGTTTTTAAACTCTCACAACCAAAATCCCACAAATTTCAAACCCTAAACCAAACAAGTAGAGAACCCAAACCTAACAGAGAAGATTCTCCCAAATTGCTCTCTAACTCACAAATTGACTATCACCAAATTGTCACACGAATGAGCCACACTAAATACACTAACCCTAAGGTCCTATTTATAGTGCATATGACTTAGATTACAATAGGAATCCTAATAGGAAATAAATCCAAATCCTAATCAAATAGGTAATTAACAAAATCTCTCCACCAAGGAAACTAACTAAGAAGTCAAAACCAAACCCAAATAGGACACCAAAACCAAATAGGTAACACAAACCTAATTTATTGCATCATCCTAATTTTGAGCCAAAAACCCAACAGGTTATCTACGTTCGATGGCCACTGAGGTGGCCAAGAAATATAGATAACACCCTTCGGCGCATAGAATTTTCGATGAAATGAATAACTGGGCACTTGACATTTAATATTTTTCTTGGTTCAGACTTGTTATAACAAAATTGACAAGAGAAAGTAATCGAGCCTTACAAAAGCTGATGTCGCTTCTTGAGAGGGGATACTGAGGTCTTGGTCCTGTGGGTGAATTGGAGTTTCTGACGTCGCTTCAGGTTCAATGATAGGCCTTTTTCCACGATCGGCTACAAGAGGATCAACCTGGTCGGTCACCTCAACCACAGGGGGAGGATCAATGGAAGGAGTTACGGTTGGTTGAGAGCAACTTACCGGCAGAATCTCGTCACTCTCGTCATCCTGAAACAAAAGAGTTGTTAATACTTTTGAATTTAATGAGTGAAGAGAGTTGCCAGCATAATCATACCTCTTCTAAGATGATCGCTGATTGTTTTAGATTCTTGGGGAGATTCTTCCCGATCAAAGGGGTTGCCTCCCCCAGAATGGGTGCTAAAGTCGGCCTCAGAGCTGCAGACGTTTCGACCAGCAGTATAATAACTGGTTCGACTGCGACCTCGGGGACCTCAGGGGCCGGGTGAGCTTGGGTTGCTGGGTTGGTTGAAGATGGTTGTTTCTTCGCTGAGGCCTGAACAACGGGAACAAGAGGAGAGGCACTTGGAGTGATTGTTCCGGTGGTGTGGCTGGAGATAACGTGAATCTCTCGTGCTCCATTATTCGCCAATTTCTTGACGCGTTTTGTGGGACGAGTGGCTTCACCTGCCGTCTCGGCATCCGAGTGAGGCTGTTTGCTTAATGTGTTTTGCGCGTCAGTTTTAGATTTCTTGGAGGAATGGGTCAATTTTTTCTTGGCCATAGCCGGGGCGACCACGTCTGCCTGTTTCAATACCCGATCGCCTGAGAAAGCGAAATCTCATTAGTAAAATCGTTTAAGTGTTTGAAGAATAAAGGTAGAGATAGTCGTGTACCTTGGGGCGTCTCTTTAGATTGAGGGGCATAAGTTTTTTTGGGTCGATCACAAATTTTTTTGTTACTACGTCCTCGACCGAAGCGCCAAAAAAGTCGTGAGTATTTTCTTCCCACCAGTCGTCGAAGATGTTGGTGCCGAAAGATTCAGGAACAGTTGGTCGAAGGTGAAATTTCTTACACCGTTCCTGAAACTCCTCGGTGTCTTTGCACTCCCTTTTTGAGGAACCAAAGAGGTGTCCTCGGCTTAGAAGGGAGCGAGAAAAAGTAGGGGCACCGGGCAACCTTGGAGGTAGCCAAGCTGTCGGGCAGCAAAATGGGGGTGGTAGAATTCCTAACTTGCTCGGCGAGCATCACAACCGAGGGGAAGGTCGCGAGTTAACACGAACGACCCCCAGTTTTGACGAAAACCAGCATCTTCGCTTTCACTCCAGATTGATGTGGGAAGTTTACCGAAATGGGGGTATTCCTGACGACGACATATCAAAAATTCGTTGTTGAAAAGGACGTCTAGGTCGAAGAAGTGTTTGAAGACCTCTTTAGCTAGGTGAGGAGGCACTGGGCGAGAGCTAACTGAAGGTCGATTGCTACAGTGGATTGGAGGTTGGAGATTTCTGGCCGAAGTATGGAGAAATAAACCTGCAGCCAGAGTTAGAACACCCAGAGAGGTCCATTCTGATACGGGTCAATCTTATTGATGGTCGTTTCTGCCAGGCAGCGCAAAAGGTTGACAAGGATAGCGGGTCTGAGCGCCAGAGAATGACCACTAGCCAGGGCTTCCGCCACCGGTGGCATATTTTAGACCAAGCACTTATTCGACTTAGTACAACAGAAAATAGGAAGGCCTCGTGTTCTCCCTTCCGTAGAATCACCTCCCATCGACCAGCAAAATGGAGGATAAGGGTGTTGTAGTTAAGGAAATTCTTATGCAACTTCTGAACTTCCTCTTTTGAAGGCTCTTGACCTTTTTGGCTCAACGTCTAGACGACTTGTTCGTCGAACAACACCTTGAGGTCGAGATTTAATGAGCATCCAATAAGGGTGTCGTCTATTGGAATGCCAGAAGGAGAAGTCCCGAGAATAGCCGAGATGTCGATGATGGTGGGGGTTATAAGGCCGAACGGAATGACCATGGTGTTGGTAGCCAAGCACCAGAGGCTTAGAGTTGCCATAATGAGTTCTTTATCCATGGTAATCTCCATGGTCGAGAGTTTAATGGCGTCGTGGATGCCGAGAGCTTCCCACTCTTTACTAAAGAATTTTTCCATTCGTACGACCCATGCCGCCCAGTTTGCATTGGTCAAAGGCCAGGCTCCTTGAGGCTTTGTCAAACACCACTTTGACCAATCAAATCCTTGCAACAAATGTGCCAAGCAGATTGGTGATGAACGATGGCACTGTGTCCTTAAAGAGTGGGCATAGGATTTGGTGAGTGGTGTTTAGGTCACTCTCGAAACGCAGGGTCTTGATGGCGTTCCGATCGATGAAGTCTTTGCACTTGTTGAACTCGTTGGAGAGTTGGGAAATGAAGGGGGCCATTGATGAAGGCTTAAAGATATCTGAGATGAAAGCTTGGGATTTTCTGGTATTGAAAGTTTTGAAAGCAAAGTGGTGAGAAAATTTCAAGGGTTTTGGAAAGCATAAGGTACGCGTGGAAGAGATTCGAGTATTTATAGGCATTTGGGAAGGAAGGCTAAACGTTTGATTTTCAAAATTAAGGATATAATCGAGCGGGAAAGTTGCTAATCATTGTAGATGTTCAGGAAATCTAGGCAAAAAGGTTGAGGTTTTCACGGTTTAAGGATGCACGATTGCGTGTTGCGACAGGTTTAGTGCAAGAGAGACGTTTTTGCGATCGTATGTTTTCGAGGGTCATGATTGTGGATTGCTAGGTTAACCAGGGGACTGACATGTGGCAGGACGGTTGGGAAATCAAGATCGTGGGGTTATGTCTCATAAATGTGCATGGTAGTATTTCTCAAGAGGATTCAATGATTGTCTTTAGGTCGGTTTCACTTCTTCAAGGTCAAGGGTCGAACCAAGGAATGTAGGTTGACGACCTCAGAAGCAAGGGGGTAATGCTTGGTTTGGGCCAAGTTTATAATTGTTCTCGGCCCAAAGGCCATGTTTAGGAGTCGTTGTGGGTCATTCGGCTTATGGGCCATATAGCCAAGGCCGGCCGTGCCCTATTAGGAGTCCATGGATGGTTGAATCTTGATACGAGAAGGAGTTTTGACAGGATAAGGATGTAGAAGTTTAGGATTGAATGCGGCCTGATAAGGGGGTTGAGTTCAAAGTCTTAGTAGGAGTAGGAGTGGCCGAGATAAGGTTAGATCGGGGGAAGGAGTTCTAATCCGAGTAGGGTTGTGATTCGATTGGGAGCAGGTTGACTACTATAAATAGAGGGATGAGTACATCATTAAAGTCTCTCCAATTCAACACACAAATTGCCCTGTGCAAATTCTCGCTCTACGCGAAACCTCTCAACAATCTTGAGATTTTTATTTTCCTTTTTTGCCAACACACCTTCAGGTTGGATAAACAACACTGTGAAGGCAATCGGCGAACATCTTCAGTTTGGATAAACAACATTGTTGCCGTAGAATCATCCGACCGTGAAGCACCTTCAGTTTGGATAAACAGCACTGCGACATGAGGTCATCTTATCAGCATTTTCGGCGAAGTGAGGTGTTACAGGTTACTACATTCGGCACATTGAAAGCCGAATTTGATATTGAACTTTGAGAACTAGCAGCCTTGTCTTCAGGCTCTAAAACTCGAAGGCCGAGAGTGTTCATTCCTCGGCCGTAGTCGCAAGATCGAGAAGTCAGCCGCGCGCTCAGCGCAACATCAACACATTTTACTCCTTGGCCGAGCTCGGCCAACGAGTTGGCACGAATTGTATCAACCAAATGACGTAGTTACCTGATTAGTTACTCGGCTTGCGCGCCACGGAGGCTTGATAGTTTTTAGGGTCAACAAACAGATATGCAAATTCTAAAGTACATTTATCCTAAAACATTAGTTCGTTATCCATGATGTATCAAAGAGATCAACAGAACCATATTTCTAGGATTCACTTCACATGGGAATGATTAACAGTATGAGTTAAATTAAGATAGCGAAGAAGACAACCCGAAAGCAATAACCTATACTGGGAGAGAAAAATCACCTTCTGGATCTTCCCACAAAGCAATGAACCAACACACCACCACCCGATCTTTTAGCTTCATCAATATATTCGATGCATTCATCGAAGTGTTGTTTTAAATCTGTGCAGACTCTGTCCGCAACTATCTCAATTTTAAAAGAGCACCAAAAGATAAACATGACGTCAATTCTACAATCTCACACCTTGCCTTGAAACAACAAATATGATCACAATTATGTTAAACACTTGTAGACCAAGGCATTAAACACTTGGAAAGAAAATAGAAGAAAAGACTCACTAAAGAAGCTGCGAGTATCAGAAGGAGTGCGTCTGTTTGTCGCGCGTATTTGATCGTTGTGTTTCTCTTCGCTCTCCGATATATAAAAGTTGGGTTAATTACACTAACATTTAACACTAAACATCGAGTTTTCACAAAATTTCTTCATATTTGGGACATTACACGAACATCCTTATTTTAATTCACTTTCACATAATCTTTCTAGTCAAGATCCTACTAATAAATTAACAACTTTACCATTACAACTAATTAATTAAATAACAAAGAGATATATTAGGAAAAGGAAAATATAAAAAATAAATTAATTAAAAACTTAAAAATAATTAAATCAATGCAAACCTTTATAAAGGTACTGTTAAGTATAATTGCCAGATTGGCATTGCGGGAGGGTCTTCAGTTATAAACAAAAAATGCCTCGTCAAGCAGATTGTTCCGGCAATAAGCCGCGAGCAAGGCTGTGTAAATTTCAAGAGGACTTTCACAGCACTTTTCGACCATTGTAAATTTCAAGAGTTGGTTCACTGTCCGCGAGCAAAGCAGTGGAGTTTTTTTTGGGAGAGGATGAGGATGCGGGAGGAGAGAGGAAGAGAAGGAGAGAGAGATTAAAGAAGCCATGGATGGCTTTGGCCTGCAAAATTGTTAGAGCAGTGACGGGGTAATGAGTAGTAAGGGTGGGGCGGGGGGAAGGTGGCAATGGTGGAATTGGGGAAGGTTTAGAGTTTTCTCTTTTTTCCTTTTTCATTTTTTAAGTTTTTAATTTATTTTTTAATGTTTAATTTATTTATTTATTGTTAGTGAAAAATTGGCAATTCTTGACAAAATGTTCGAGTATGTAATATCTTAAATTTGTTACATATTTTCAATTGTAATTGTTTAAGTTTAAGAATGTCTCTCACACTTTCGATCGCAAAGATATTACGTAAACGAGATACTTATTCAGGTACATTTGCACGCACGCATCCAACTACATTCATCAGATACCTCATGTTATTGTATTTGGGATAAGACTCTTACCCATCATGTGTTTTATCTCTTTAAGATGAGTTATCCTTTCTACATTTATTATTAAAACACATCTTTTTTTGTGGGATTTATCTGATTGCATGCTTTCAAAATAAACTTATTGTTTATCTGGATGTTGAAATGGTTTGCGTTCTCATCTTGTTTTAATCGGTGCGGTGATTTTTGTCTATATATGAGATGTTAGGTCTTTGGAGAAAGTTCACATGAATATTGGTCTTTTGACAAAATAATCGAAAGGTAGCATGTCACATCCCGGCCCGAGCCCCCACCACATCCCGGGCTCGACTCCGCCGTAGTACGATATTGTCCGCTTTAGGCCCCAACCACACCATCACGGTTTTGTTTCTGGGAACTCACATGAGAACTTCCCAGTGGGTCACCCATCATGGGAATGCTCTCGCCCGAACTCGCTTAACTTCGGAGTTCTTATGGAATCCGAAGCCAGTGAGCTCCCAAAAGACCTCATACTAGGTAGAGATGAGAATATATATATAAGGCTTACATGATCAATTTCCCTAAGCGATGTGGGATGTTACATAGCAGCTTTGTGTTTTGAGTAAGAAAAATAATTTTTATACTACTGCTATCTTGTGTTTTCAACAACATGTGTTTTTAAGAGAAAATATTATTTTTCATGCTGCTTTCATTTGAGTTTTTAATTGAATGTCAATTATGAAACTGTGCCTTGTGATTTTCGTAATTGATTGTTTTTTAACAAACACTTCATCATATATATATTCTGCATGATCAAGTTAGTATCTTGCAAAGTTCGAGGGAAAGGTGATTGACGACCGCATTAGTGTTGTGCCACTTCAGCTCGAAGACTGAAGAAAGATCGAGTAGCAAAGTGTGAAGACAAAGCTGCCAGCTAGAATGGGTGTCTAATTGATGAGTTTTTGTAAGTCTTTATGTGTTTATACCATATTTAGGGCCTCGTATTTAGACCTCGTATAAATACTCGAGGGACTTAAATATAATTATGTAATAAAGAAATTGGCAAATATGTAATAAGTGAGGAGTCCTTATTCTATAAAAGGACCCCTCACCCTCACAATTAGGAGAGGCCATTTCTGGAGGTCGATTCCTAAGGCTCCTCACCCTCTCAACGCTCTCACTCTCAGATCTCTCTCTCTTCCTCACTTCTCAGAGAAATACAATACAATCAGTGTGGACGTAGCCCAAACCTTGGGGTGAACCACGATACATCTTGTGTTATTTACATTTCATGCAGATTCACGGTCAGATTTACATTGTACCAAGACTTCCGGTTTTGTGCATCAACATTTGGCGCCATCTGTGGGAAACAACACAGAAAACTATGTCAGTTCTCTTTCATTTTTTCACCTTCACCGTGAATCTGCAAAATCACAAAAACCCAAAACAAAGAGAAACAAATGCTTCCAGATCCAAATTCCAGATTATGATCTCACTCACTCCCATTCTCTCTCTCGTCCATCGCACAAGCTCCCCTGTCGTCTTCCTCTGCCCGATCCCAAACCCGACAAGGGTGCACCCATCAGTAGCACCAGCCCCTTCAGGACCCGATGTTCATCGGCTGGCTCGGGCTTGCAGGAGGCACCCAAGTCCTCCGAGGAGAGGAAGCTGAGTTCTGATCTCTACTCGTCGGTGCCAAAATTATTCGACAAAAAAAAAGGCCATGCGTTGCGGCGTTGGAACGGCGTCGTATATGAATTTGGGGTCTGTTGGTGATGGGCGATGAGAAGTCGTCATCATCGATCGTAATGGTGAGCAGAGACAGAGAACCGCAAGATTGTGAGCTTCTCATTCCCGTGGCAGACTCCGACGACGAGGGTGCATCGCCCAAACCTTCTCCTCACGCACAGACGCGCATACCAGCGCTGCCGCCTGCCATCTCATTCAGAAGCATATTCCATCATAATGGTCAGATAGGTAGGAAACGGCTTTGTCAACGCTGCGGAAGCTGACGCCCAGCCACTCACATCCAAAACCACTTTTGCCCCAATTACAGTGCCCGAGTCTGACCCAACAACAAACAACAATCCGGATAAAATCCAGAACCCGAATTTGGTCCCAATTCGGACACCGGGGCTGCCACTACCCCAACGAACATCAGCAACGATTCCACCTCAATAGCTGATAAGCGATGGCTGAGTTGGCCCAGGGACTGCGGGTTTTGGCTAATTATGCCGGTTCTGAAGGTCGGTAGCATTATTGGCCGCAAAGGCAAGCTCATGAAGAAAATGTGCGAGGAGACCCGAGCTCACATTCGGGTCCTGGACGACACTGTTGGAAATCCTGATCCCATCGTGCTGATCTCTGCAAGGGAAGAGCCAGAGGTACCTCTGTCCCCTGCAATGGAGGCTGTAATAAGAATATTCAAATGCGTCTCTGGATTATCATCTCACTGGTTCCCGACTTTCTCTCTCACTGAATCTCAAATGGCGACAATCATCCACCTCTCTGTAACCCACCTTTCTGTGAAGATCGACCCTGCCATTCGCCGTAAATATGTACACTGGAGAAATGCAAACTGCAACCTTCGAAAGAGAAAGAGCTGCCATGGGTAAGCCTCTGAGCAACGGCGGCCCTGCCTTCTACTTCGTCCAGTCTAAGATTCCAATGGTTTGCTGTGGTTGGAATTGAGATGGGGACAAGGTCCTAGCAGAAACCAGGCCGAAAGAGAAAGGCAGTGGCAGACAAAGCAAAAGGAAAAGAGAAAGAAAAAGGAAAGTATAAGCAAAAGCAAGTGAGTGTGTCTGGAGGTGGAGAGATCAAAGAAAGGAACAGAAAAGAAAAAAGATCATGTCGTTGGGAGAATATTTCAGAAAGCAGAAAAGAGGAAAGCAAAAGAGATGCACATGGGGACACTGCAAAAGCAAGGAATAAACACCCTACTAGAGTGATGTAATTTATTTTCCTTATCTTTCGGAAATATCTGTATAAACCCCATCAGAGGGTGTAAAAAAAAAAGAAAAGAAGGCAAAGCCCAAAATAAATGGGCTGGAATGTTGTGTGGAGGGTGAAGTCCCATAAGCCTAAAATACAACCAACCAGGTGATCAATAGTACGCCCAGTACTCCACAATTATTCGACAACCTGTCGCTATTAGCACTAACCAGGTAATTAAAAGTACGCCAAGTACTTCAAAATTATACATAAGCACTACTCATGTCAATCATACATAAACATACATGAGCACTACTCATGTCGATCATACATAAACATTCATAAACATCACTCATATCAATCATACATAAATATTCATGAGCATCACTCATGTCAACATCCATGAGCATCACTCATGTCAATCAACATAAACATTCATGAGCATCACTCATGTGAAGCAGCTTCAAAAGCTTCATTTACAGAGCTCCAGCTTCAAAAGCTTCATTTACAAGAGCTCTAGCTTCAAAAACTTCATTTACAAAAACTCTAGCTTCAAAAGCTTCATCTACAGAGCTCTAGCTTCAAAAGCTTTATTTACAAAAGCTCTAGCTTCAAAAGCTTCATTTACAGAGCTCCAGTTTTAAAGCTTCAATTGCAAAGCTTCACCTACAAAGCTTCAGTGCAGGGTATACAAATACCGTCTCCGAACAACCGCCACTTCGGCCCATACATGGATTCAATTTAACGTCTCCAGCCAACATACTCTACTGACCGAAGACTTGGGGAACTACATTATGTACCATATATTGGGCCTTATGGAAAATTCTTAGGGGACTTAGCCCGTTCTATGTACTGAGGAGCGAGCCCTTATTCTATAAAAGGGACTCCCTCACCATCATTAGAGCAGCATCAACTCTAGTCCATTATTCATGTATTGAGGAGCGAGCCCTTATTCTATAAAAAGGACTCCCTCACTATCATTAGAGAGCATCGCTGCCAGCTGAGCAACCACCTTGCCGCGAGCATCACTCATAAACCATTATTCATGTA